ACCCCCCCTGGCAGCCACAGGTGCATATGGCAGGGCTGGAAGGACTTGCCACTAACTTTAGTGCCAAGTGAATGTGTAGAAACCTGCAAAAAATCACTTGATGTGCACTGCCTCAATGCACATTAAATGTAGTAGCATTTAAATGCATGTGTAGATGTGCCCAGTGGAACAATATAACTCTAAACCCAAATTGTATTTCTCCTCTGAATCACCTAGGTTGCACAGGTGACCCTCGCCATTTGTGGGGGATACATTCCCGTGATCCCCGCAAATGGCAAAATCTGCGAATAGGGTACTGCGCTCATGAATGCAGTGCCCCCAGCTGCTGGTGGGGCACGGCTCTGGCAGCAACAGTGAGAGTGCGGCAGCGGGAGTCCAGTAGCAGCAAGCATGGAGCTCCTGAGGAGCTCTAGTAAGTGTTTAAAGTGTATTTAAAATGTGGGTTTGGCATTCGCAAATATTTGAAACCACAAATGCTGAACCTGTGTATACCAAGGGTTTCCTGTATGTATGGCATCTATGGTTACATGTTCTAGCCCATTTGCAGCCTCCCAAAAATTGTAAAAGGTAGGGTTATTCAAAAGATAAGTGAGTGTTTCTCCTCCCTGCAGCTTTATGTAACTTAATCTTAAAAATAAGAAGAAGGTGTGATGTAAAAGTTGATCAATTCAAGCTTAGGAGGTCACTTAGAGGTAAAAAAAAGGTAGAATTTGAGGATTAGTGAGGAGATTTTGATGATGGGACATTTTGGGGACATTAGGGATGATATATCTCTGGACATTTAGGAACATTTTGATGATTATACATCTCTGACTTCTGACCTTATTTACTTTTAAAAGAAAGTAATGGTTACTGTCATGGGGTGCACACATGTAATAATAAAGTTGGGGAACCTTTTCAACTGTAAAACAGATAGAGGCACTGAAGGCTTCTCAAGCCCTCAACAATTTTAGGAGGTTTACATGAAAAATCTAGGTCCCATGGCACCTCCCCACTAGCAAACTTCATAATCCACCTCCCTGAAATGTCTCATAACCTCAAAGAGCACCTGTCATTTGTCTAGCAGTTTACTTTCCACTGAGGAGATTAGCAACAGGACCCAGTCCTTTGGTGGATATGCCTAAAGTTGGGCATTCTTATTACACTGTTGCTTCTGAGTCTGCATGGTGTGGAGATTCTTCCGGGTGAATGTTCTTACTAGATCCCACCATTCCCAAAATTTGGGAACCTACTAGAATATTTTTTTTACTTCTCTGGTCCTGTATCTGCCAGGCCTCCTGAAGGAGGTCTGATATACCCCAGGCTTATTTACCATAGAAGAGTTCAAAAGGGTAGAAGTCTGTTGAGGATTGAGGAATTTCTCATATTCCAAACAACCAATAAGGCAACAGTGGGTGTGTCTACATGTGCAAAAGATCTGGAAGCAGTTTACTCTTGAGTAAACTACTAGAGAATAAATGCTCCAGGGCATGTGTCTGCACATGCAGGGATGTGGGAGAAGATTTGCTGCTCCTAGCAGCAGACTGCTCCCACTCCCTGCAGCCATAAAATCAGCCCCTGCAGCAGCCAGGGGGAGCTCTAAGTTCCCTCTGGGTACTAGCCCAAGGGCCATGAGACAGCTGTCTCCTGGCAGGGCTTGGGACATTGCTCTCTGCTCCAGAAGCTGCCTGCTGCAGGGGAGCTGAGCACTCCATCACGGGAGCCCAGGTGGCAACAATGTCCCCCTGCCCTGGAAGCCCTGCCCTGTGGGCATGAGGCTGGCTCTGGGAGATCCTTCTCTCCTAGCTCAACTCCTGTGGCCATGGCCTTGTGACTTTGAAGCTGGTACAGGTAGACAGAGATCTCTCAGCCCAGCCCTTCGATTGCAGAGTCGGGGTGGGGAGCTCCTTACTGCCAGGGCTGGGGGACATTGTTTGCACCCTGGCTTTGGTGGCAGAGCCCACCACAGCAGCAGGCAGCTCCCACTGTTAGGGAGCAATTTCCCACCCCCTGCATCCCAGCTGACCAGGAGCACATTTTCTCCCGATCAGGCATCTACATGTGTGCTACTGCACAGCTAATAATCATGAGTAAATTTGCTGCTTATATTTGCAGGTAGCAAATATACTCATGACTAGAGCCAATTACTACACAGTAAGCATCTGCATACGTAGATGTGGATGTTTACTTTGCAGTAATTATCTCTACTGCGCAGTAAAGTGTCTCATGTAGATGTGCCCAGTATATCCCAGTTGAAGGTTTCTGCTACCAGAAACTGCCCTAACAGCTTCTTTAAAGTCTGATTTCACCTCTTCTGTAAGCAATTGTCATGTGATTTGCACACACGATAACAATTTCAACAATTTACAGGACATTACTTTTAGGTCCTGTTGAGAGTTGGGGGGGAGCATTGGGGTGATGCTGGCTATAGGGGTGATGCATAGGAATAGAACCTACAACACCAGTTTAGCCACTAAAATCAATAATTTGCAGGCCTACATGGCTCTATCATCTATGAGTGTCAGGCACAGAGGACCTATGACTTCACTTTAAAAAGCCTTGACTTTTAACACTCAGAGTTATTGACCACTGGGGCAAACTTCCAATGGAAAAATCAGTCATGAGTTGATGTCTTTCATATCAAGATGAGATGGATTGCTGGAAGAAATGTTTTAGTCAAACACTAAATTGGCCTCAACACAAGAGTTCTGGAGTGGCAGGGGATGCATCACCAGGGCAGTGCAGAGCTCGCAGTGGCAAGCAGCTTTCCTATGTGGCCTCGCTCTGCCCTAAAGTACTGGGTCAGACACACCAGGCTGCAGAGGCCCCCTGTGGGAGGGCACCAGGGCAGAAGCCCCAGCCCACAGCAGGCAGCCCACCTCACCTCACCTCACCCCCACCCCACAAACAGATTTGGGGGGCACAGGTCCCCTCTGCACCCCCAGTGCACACTGTGATAGGGAGCTCCCCCCCCCGGATGACCGTCCTGCAGCTCTGTATTGCTCCCCACTGGGGCCCTGGGGCCGTGCATTGCAGCCCTGAGCCTCAAGCCCCACACACCGCCCAGCTGGGTAGCATCCCCAGCCCTGCCCAGCTCCCTCCCTCCCTCTGGGGGCCTCAATCCCTCCCCACACAAACAGGCTGGAACTCTGCCGGCCTGCTGAGGACTCAGGGCAAAACTGCAAAATCTGTCGGTTTCTCTGCTAAAATCCATGTTTTACTCCAGTAAGGGGGAAAATCCGCATTTTACTCCATTTTTCCATGGGAAATGGAAAACCTGGATCCCTGCTAATCATAATATCACAATAGCCATTGTGTTAAGGCAGAAGTCACATTAGCTACCCAGTAGAAACTTCCAAAAAGGTCATCAAAACTTGAACCTCCCAATTCTCCAAGAGAGGGCAATCTGTCATGTTTAATTTGAAGTCAGACAGAGGTACCAGTAGACCTTATAAACGGAATCAGAGATGTAAATTGATATAATGGGACCATATTTAACACAATGCAGTCTCTGGAAGTTTTCTTGGTCAAGTTGATTTTTAAAAATGCTATTATTTAAGAACAGCACCAAGTTCTACCTTCCATAATATGTGATTCACAGCTGTGAACTCTTCTTGTAGCTAGGTCAATAACTTTCCAAAAAAATCCAAGCAGGAAGTGATGGTGATGCCCCTTCCATACCAACAGTTTTGGTGTTAGAGAACTCCCTTGAGTAGGGATGGAGGATCCCATAGCAAGAACCCTGTCTCTCCATCAAGTTTGGAGCTGGGTCCAAAGCAAACATTTCCCACCTCAGTAGGCACATCTACACGAGACACTGACTGCCAAATAGCTGAATAATACTGCACTGTAATGCATCACAGCACTAACAGTGCAGTATTTTTAGTAGTATTAGTAGTATACACTACTGTGCAGTATTTTTAGGCTCCTGAGCATTAGCATCACTTTAAAAGATGTTTGCCGGTGCTACTACACAGTAACTCTGGTTACTGCACGTTTATTTAGTACTTGCTTATACAAGTACTAAATAAATGCACAATAACCACTGTGCATTAGTGTCTCATGTAGACACCGCCATTGTTGACAGACCTATGCTCTAGACTTCTGAGTATTTTAGGCTGAATCTCTCTGTCTCTCTTGTTGAATATGCTTTTTCAGCATACTAACACATACATTGGAATAGGTCTTTCTCAAGTCAGTGCTCTAACCACAACCCTGTAAACTCATTGTCACTCTCCAGAACAAAAACTTGAAAAGAAAAGGTGAACTGTTCATACATTCTTGGCAACAGATTACTTCATTGGCACTGATGCCTTTCAGGCATCTCTCTTCCTACAGCGTCTTTACAAAAGGTTAGATTGATGATGGCCATGACAGTGTAGACATTCTTATGGTTTAGGAGTATTTATTTCTTTATAGACTAGAAGCCCATTTCAACCAAATACATGACATCAGAATATTTTAACACTCAATTCCCATTATCCTATTAGTATTTCCAAAACGTTGAAAGGGGTGTGGGCTATAGCTGTGTTGGTCTAAGGACATAGACAGACAAGGTTCTTTGGGTGAATCTGTCGTCTTTTATTAGACCAACTTAAATATTTAAGTCGGTCTAATAAAAGACATCAGATTCACCCAAAGAACCTTGTCTGCAAAATGTTGAAATACATTCACAAGCTTCGAATCTTCCCCAGTATATTCCCCAGAGCTGCCTTCACGTCCTTGTTTCTCAGGCTATAGATGATAGGGTTCAACATGGGAGTTAAGACACTGTACTGGATTGAGAAGATTCTGTCAAGAGCCACTGAAGAGGCTGAACTGGGTCTCAGATATCGAAACAAAGCAGACCCATAACACAGAATGACCACAGTGAGGTGGGAGCTGCAGGTAGAGAAGGCTTTACTCCGACCCTCAGCAGAGCGTATCCTCAGGATGGTGGAGATGATGCAGATGTAAGAGACAAGGCTAATGGAGAATGAGGCCAAAGTTACAAACAAAGCTGAAGTGAGAAAGGTCATCGTACTGGTGAAAGTCTCTGTGCAGGCCACTTCTAGAAGAGATGGGAGCTCACAACTGAAATTGTCCAGTTCATTGGGGCCACAGAAGTGCAAATGTAACACAGGAACAGTATTTGTAAGTGCATAAAATATACCGATCAGCCATGCACCACCCACCAGTCTTATGCGGACTTGCTTATTCATGGTCCCCTGATAATGCAGTGGGTCACAGATGGCAGCATATCGATCATAGGCCATTGCTGATAGAATGAAAACTTCTGCACTGGCCCCCAGAAGAATTAAGCTCATCTGGGCAATGCAGCCATGATAAGAAATGGGTGTCTCATCTGCCAAGAAATTCTGCAGCATCTTTGGGGCTGTAACTGAAGAATAGCAGATGTCCAGGAAGGATAAATGGAAGAGGAAAAAATACATAGGAGTGTGAAGGTGAGGATCAGCTCTTATCACCACCATAATTGCCCCATTCCCCACCACAGTTAGTAGGTATATAAGTAGAAACAGCACAAAAAGGAAAGGCTGGAGCTGTGGGTCACTGGAAACACCTGACAGAACAAAATAGCTGACAGTTGTCTGGTTCCCCATGGCCACTTGTTCACCAAACTTTTAACCTAGAAGAAGAAATGAATAAATGAATATGTAAATAAATAAAGCAATTACCATGAATAAAGCGTACTTCTCTATTCATGGGTAAGAGGATATCTCTATTTAGAGCATTCAGAAAACCTCAGTCCAGTTGTTCGCAAACTCTTCTTATATTTACACAACTTCCAAGCATTTTCACCTTCCCCCAAGCACATTTTCTCACAGAGCTGCCTCTTGAAGGACTTCATTTCCCCTTAGACTATCTGGATATGGGCAGTCCTCGGATTTATGACACAACTGGTTCCTGAAAACCATGTCTTAAGTCGAAACGCTGTAACTCAGAACCAATTTTTCCATAGCAAACAATGTTATAAATGGGGGATTGGTTCCCAAACCAAGGCCCGATACCCTATTTTCACCAAAAATAACCCAGAATTTTGTACTTAATTATTGATGAGTAATACAATGTATTTATACTGTAAATAGCAATCGTATTGATTTGGAAGGACTTCTTTGAGGTGACTTTGCTGGACTTTTTGAAGGGTTCTTGGCTGGAGTCTTCTCAGGAGTCCTGGCTGCAGGTTCGTCTGGGGTCTTGTCTGCTTTCTTAAAGAAAGTATCCAAGGAAGTTTGGACAGATGTTCTCTAGGGAGATGGGCGATGCAGCAAACTTGTTTGCTGGCATGGCGTGCCATCGGATCAAATGTTGTAAAGTTGAAAATGACGTCAGAAAGTTGAAACAGGGTGTCAATTGATAAACATTGTAAGTGCAAAATGTAATGCGAAACGTTGTAAGTCAAGGACTGCCTGTATGCCGCACGACAACCTCTGCAGGATGAGTGGCCAACAAATTCTGAGTCTGAGAATCAAATTCCATTTCATCTAAACTTAATGGAGAATTGCTTACATGTATAAATGTAGCTTTATACGTGGCATTTTCTAAGTTCCCCTTGCTGACTCAGGTAGGTATGCCACTACAGACCTTTGCCAACAATTTCAGACCAAAACAGACATCAAGAAAACGGTTTGATACTGGAGAAGAAGGGTTCTCTCACCTAGCATCCCAATAGTTGATTATTAGGGCATTCATCTAACAGGCTGAAGGATCAATTGCTTGTCCCCGTCATGCAGTCAGGATTCCAATGAAGCACCCTTCTCTTGAAGCTGGCAGCCAACAAGGAAAAATATGTGGTGCCAGGATGGAAGGGAGCCAGAAAAAGGATGGCTTACTAAGGAGAACATAGCTCCAAAAGAGAGAAGGCCCTGAGTTTCATCCCTATTCCCACCACCCAGGGGGGCAAAAGCTGAGAGGTATGGACACATTTTTAGTAACAGACATTTGACTCTGAAATGCATTTCTCTGACTGATTTTTCAGAGCCAGAGACTAGTCACCTGCCCTGCTTGCCTTTTCTCTCTTCCTTCTTTTCCAAATGAGAAGGTTAGGTTTGTTGCACCCTATTGAGCCCTTATTTTTAAGTCTGAAAAAGTACAAAGTGCTGCATTCTGTGGAAGCAGTACCCATTGTATCCAAGACTTCAGTGATTTTTTTTTTCTTTTTAACTGAAAACAATGTGAATCACTCCTTGACCAATCTGTGCTGCTTTCTGGAATTGCTATGATTTTCCTAGCAGCCAGGCTATTTTGAAATATATTTTATTGAACCAAATGTAAAGTCTGGAGTGCTGTTGGACAACATTTTGGTCATCAGGTGACCTGAGGAAGGCCACTTGATGCCTGAAAGCTGGTCCAAATGCTCTCCCAATCATAGACTTGGTCCAATAAAAAATATCACAGAAAAGCCTTGCCCCTCAGACACTGGCTGGATCATCACAGCAACAAAACACTCCTCTCCTACTACATTATCCTCCTGACGGCTGAAGATCTTTATTTCGAGGCTAAGCTAAAGTCCACCTCTACCACTATTGGCCACAGAAAAGGGTTTCTTTTTACACAGGAATAGGCAAAAGCACTGTGTTGGTACTCACTGCATATCAGAATAGATATGAGACACCTTAACATCCTAGAAACAAATAAAGCCTGGCTATAGATGAAATGGGAAGTTCCAGGAATCAAAATTGAGGAGATATAGTGTGTGACATGAGGGAAAATAGTACATAGATTCATAGATGTTTGGGTCAGAAGGGACCTTAGCAGATCATCGAGTCCGACCCCCTGCCCTGGGCAGGAAAACATGCTGGGGTCAGATAACCCCAGCCACGTGCATGTCCAGCCTCCTCTTAGAGACCCCCAAGGTAGAGGAGAGCACCACCTCGCTTGGAAGCCAAGTCCAGATTGTGGCAACCCTTACCATAAAGTTCTTCCTGATGTCTAATCTAAATCTGCTAAACCTGGTGAAGTAAAGAAGGGTTTGCTGGACCAAAAAGCTCTCAGAGGATGCATCTACATGAGATGCTTACTGCACATTAGCCTAATAACACTGTGCAATAGCATGGTGGTTAAAAAGTGGTCTAATAGCCTACTGCGCAGTGTTATTAGGCTAATGCACAGTAAGCATCACAATTCAAACAACCCGGAGGAAGTACAGGGCCCTTCCTGAGTGGAGGAATGTGGGGAAGTATTTTAAAAAAAGAACATAAACCATTCTTCTCAAAGATGGTAATGCCCTACACTGCGAAATCTCATGGCAAGTCCAAAATCCCCTCAATAAGCATCCCGTTCTTTTTATCTCCCTCAGAAAATCACAGTTTTTAAAGCTACTGTGGATGAGGCTGGACATACTGAACTTCCCACGACTGCAATATGATTTCAAAATGAGAATCACATATTACATCAAAATACAACAGGAGAAACTCACCTAACAGCAGAAAAAAGATTCCAGGACATATGAGATGTTAACACTTGATACTTCATTCTTTCCTCCTGTAAGAATGAGAGAGAGAAAGAGAAAGAGAGAGTGCTCACATCCATTCCACATTTGACTAATTTGAGAGAGGATAACTGACTGATGCTTTCCTGAATGAGGGAATCTTGTTATCTTATGGGTGGGAAACATCCAGAGCAGAAATGAATCTGATGTACTTACATCAGTTCTGTAACACCAGCTGGGGGTTTTTTTCTGATGCCCAGATGACCAATTAGTTCTTAAGAAAGAATGTTTAGTCCCTTTGGGGCTGGTCTTGAGATGATTCCTTTCCCTGTCTATTAGTTACTAAAAGAAAAGGAATTGTTCCAAAAAGTTATGAATGTAAAACTAGCATACAGCCAGGCTTGGCCAGGCAGAAAAAAAAAAACCTACCCCAGCATCTCAAGGGAATATCTAGAATTGGGATATTACCTCATCTTAACATGTTTAGCCTGGAAATGTGCATGTGTTATAGCACCAGGCAATGCTGTGGTGAGTCATTCTGCACCTGGTCCATGCATGATACCTTTTGGACCACAGGCTCTGTAATCACCTTGGTACAGTGCTGCAGACACCTGATCTGGCCCTGAAACATATGAGCTGAGCCACCTCTTATTTCAATATCTTTAGAATGATTGTATTGATCTGACATAAGTGATTTACCTTGCCATATTTCTACCTGACAAAATCACTGCCCATTTTGCTGGACTCCCATTGCTAGTAATCAGTGGATACATCTACATCAGATGCTTTACTGCACAGTAGAGCAAATTACTACACAGTAAGCATCCACATGTACATGTGCAGATGCTTACTGTGCAGTAATTTGCTGTCATTGTAAGTTTGCTACTTGTTAATACAAGCCAGTCATCTTAAAAACCTAAACAACCAGCGCCTGAGGGGACCAGGTATGCTGCACCACCCAGCACACCCACTCAGCCTTTCCCTGGCCCTAGCTCTGGCCACACCAAGGCAACCCACCCAGCAGGGGAACCGCAGTTACAGGAAAGTGGTGGCAGGGCATGGGGGAGGGGGGGCACATGCCCCCAGATCAGGTCAGGACAGGTGAGCGGGGCCGTGGCTGCACCAGGCTGTGCTCCGGGCAGGTGGCAAGGCCTATGTGGGGGCTACAGTCCCCTCATAGCCTCTGCTCCGCTGCCTGCCCCGATCTGGGGGCACACGCCCCGCCATGCCCTCCTGCTGCTTGCACAGCTGAGGCAGGGCGGGTGCAGGATGGAGTCACAGGTTGTCTGGGTGCAGAGGCTCCCGCTGCTGCACACTGCTCGTCTGGAGGTAGCACAGTGGCCCCGTCCCATGCCCGCCCCGCCCCGCCCTGGCAGGGCATGCAGCAGCACAGCATAGCCCCCACTCCTGGTGCAGCCCCAGCCCCAGCCCCAATCAGCCTACTGCACCCCCCCGCCCCACACAGATCCAGGGGCATACCACCCCCCATCCCCTCCTGGACAATTGCTGGAACCATCAGATGAGCAACTTGCCTCAGCGCCCCCCTCACCACGGAGGGCCTTGATCTGTCACCCCACAACCCTTCCCTTCCCTTCCCTTCCCCCTCCTCAACACCAGGCTTACCAGCTGGACGCAGCTGTATCCAGTGTTGTAAGGGAACCAATCCCCCATTTATAACATTGTTCCTATGGGAAAATTGGTTCTGAGTTATGACATTTCAACTGTAGACACGGTTTTCAGGAACCAATGGCGTTGTAAGTCTGAGGCCTGCCTGTAAAAGATATCAGCCTAAGTAATCCTCTGTCTACCAAGATACATAAGTGTATATAAGTAGCAGTTTATTATTCGAATGTTTACCTGTATATGGTAAGTGCTATGTTGCAGATAAGTATTATTGACCCTTTCTAGATGAACACTGTCTTTTCTTGTAGATTAGCACTATGTTTTCTGAATTGTTAATTGTTATTCCTGTACCCAATTGTTTGGATACAGAGCTAATTAAAGTTATACAAAGTGGTTACACCTGTAGTCTAACTTTATCTCAAGTACATTGTTCATCCAAAAAAATAAGATCAACCTAAGAAAATAAGATTAAAAAAATAAGATCATCCTCAGGGGGAGGGGTGGCCAGCAGACTTTTCTGCACAGACACAGGGCTGTTGGTAGGTGTGG